TTAACATTAGTGTTAGTAAACACTGAAGACAAAGACTTCAAATTTAGACCAAGTTGCTTAACTTATATGCTTATAGAAAATTAAATAATGAAGTGAAATTACTGTCCACTTTGATTAAATCAGTGGTGAACTCAGCATAAGAACAGTTTGCACATCAAAGGAGTAGGGAAAATATTGTCATTTGCTTTGCAGTTACCTTGCATTTCCATGATTCACTGTTGATCATACTCTCCTTTGATTATAAAGAACAAAATCCTTTTCCCTTGAATTTAGTTGAATAGAAAGTAGATTGTTTTTTATATTTAAAATTGTACATGCTGATCCTTCGGTTCATGAGCATGATGATTGAGTGTTCATGCTGTATGCACGAGAGTGCCTCCCTCAAACCTTGCTACAGTGTGGCACGTTATCTGTTTGATGTGGAAAAAAAATTGTGCTTACTGCCATATTTCTGTGCAATATTGTCCAAAAATGTTAAGGTATTTGGAATTTTTTTTTTTTTTTCGGAACCAGGGATTGAACTCAGGCCCTTGCATTTGCCAAGGAAGTGCTTATTCCACTGAGCCATCTCCCCGGCCCCAAAATGGCAGAAGGATTTTTTTTGGGGGGGCTCTGAATGACCTCAGGGCAGGTTTGGCCTGCTTGAGTTGTGGGGATTGAACTACAGCCACCTGAGCTTGACTGCTTTGTTGAAGCAGCCACTTAAAGAACTGAACTAAGGGGCAGGCCCCCTGGAATGTTTTAAGGTGAACAATATTGTCTCCATATATTTGGATTATATACCTTACATCATGAGTGTATTAGAGAAACAAAATTGTGCTAACATAAGGATCGTAGCGTATTGTCTAGTTTGGACTCTTGTGATTACTGGCCAGATGATATCTATATCTAGTTTGGTTTCTAGAGGATTTATATCCTTCACTACCTTCAGTTTGGAATCATTACATATGAATAGGAACCTTTTTTGGAAGCTGTGTGCTTGCTAGTACACATTTGGAAAAGGTTTTTTGTTTGTGAAAACTGAATAGGTCCTATTGTGGATGGTCATATTCATTCATACTTCTTAGCTTCCAGAAATTTTACTCTGCACAGATCAAATGGCAAGGTACAAATGTATTTGGCCTTTTTTTTTTTCTTTTCCCCAGTACTGGGGATTGAACCTGGAACCTTGTGCTTACCAGGCAGGCACTTACGCTGTTGAGCTATATCCCTGGCCCTTATTGGCTATTTTATTTATTTATTTATTTTTTAATTTTTATTTATTTTACGTGTGTGTGTGTGTGTGTGTGTGTGTGGCCAGCTCAGCCCACCAAGGGGCGGGGCTGGCTGGCATGTGGTGCTGGGGGATTGAACCGTGGTCCCTGTGCGCTAAGCTAAGCTTGTTCTAAGTAGGTGCTTTAGACCACTGAAACATCTCACCAGCCCAACCAGTAGATTCTTGTATTGAATAAATTTGGTAAAATTGTTGATTTAATATTTACTGTTATCTTATAAAAATTAATGAAAAATAAGAAATTTTTGTCTATCCTGTGGTTAAAGCTGCAGGTTCTACACTTAATTCTGGCTGATAAGGAATCTGTCAACAGAGTAAACTCTTCTGTCTGTCTAGGAACTAAGAAATGTCAGTCCTTATTGGGCATAATAATGTTGGTAGTTATTGTTTATATGTCAGAGGACAACTGTTACGTACTAGGTATTTTGTGTACATTAATCCATTTCTTTCACATGACAGTTCCACTGTTTTTTAAGGGTGCTTCTTCTCCATCTGCTATTTGAGACCTCCATCCCTCACTTCCTATTGACAGTCAACAGATGATTTTACTTCCAGCTTTACGAAGGAAATAGAAGCCTTCAGCTGCCCACCACCAAAACTCCTAACATAACCACCTCTGTCTCCATTGAACAGAACAGTTGTTGATGAAGCAGTCTACGTTGAATGGAGATGGAACTATTCTGTTCCTATTCTTTACACTTTCCTTTGGTTAATCTAAACATGATGTCCTAGACCAGTCTCATTTTCTGTGTACTCAAGGTTTTTGTTCTCAGTTTGACATCTCTGTTTTCAGTAGCATTAATCTTTCTTCTTCACTAGCTTTCTTTCATCAGCATTAGTACTTTGGGTTTTTCTATCTTTAGGAAATGTTCCTGAACCCCACTTCCCTTTCCACCCATCATGCCATCCTTCTCCCACTGCAGCTCTTCAGATACTTGTGTGCAGCTTCTGTCTCTGCTGCCTCATTTTCCACTCTCTCTTTAACTCGTTAAAATCTTAATTCTGTGTCTTCCATTCCCTAGCAGTCACTGAGGTCACCAGAGACTTACATATCTCTAAATACCTCGATCCCTTGATCCTTTTGCCCCATGGTCAGTTGCTCTCTTAGCCTGTTTTCTTGGCTTCATTGATGTTAAACTCTGGGGTTTCTTCTATGACTTTGGTTAATCCATCTGACCCTTCTTTAGTGGGTCTGCCTCTATCTTTTCTTACCCTTTAAATTTTCGCCCTAAGAGACCTACTTTGCTGTCATTCACTTAGGGT